TTTAGAAAATTAAAATATTATGTGTCTGTAGATAGACAGTATGATGTTCATCAAATCCATATTTACATTCAAATTAATTATGGCTGTATGAATATAGTTACAGGTGAATTATGTTGTATAGTGTAATGACAGTTTTTCTGAACTTAAAAAATTTTCCTCAAGTCAATAATTGTCCTTTTAAAAGATTCCTTTTCTTTTACATGTATTAGTCACTTAAAATAATGTCCAAATTTTCTCCAAATCACCTAAATATACAGGTAGCTAAGACAGGCAGCTGTAGGGTTATTCAAAGTGCTGGAACTGTCTTCTTCCACATTACGGAAAAAAAAACAGCAGTGTGCATATATAGCTGTGTCATTCTTCCTTCGGTCTCAGCAAATTGGCTTTTGTTTCATTTTCTTTTGTAAGCCAGTTTGGTTTCATTTGCTTTTCTTTCTTTCTTTCTTTTTTTTTTTTTTTTTTTCACTTTCGTTTACTTTTGCAAGTCAGTTTAAAGATGATCCACCTCTGCCAGTGGTGCATCTGTTTGTTGATCTTGTATCAAGAATTTGTTCCTGACCCTTATTAGAAAGGACAATTCTGCCAGCTTCCTCAGATACCTATGGTCCTTTCTTTGCTTGTGATTTGGATTTCTGAAGTTTCCTTATTTATCAAAAACGGAGTTTTGGAAATCTGGTTTTCTATCCCCTTGCTACTTTTGGTTGATTCTAGAGTAAGGAAGGATAGTGTGTCCACTTTACCATTTTCAGGAGAAGGCCCTGAATTACCTTTTACAAATGCAATAATGTTTAATATATATTTATTACCTAAGGATTTACAGAAATATAAACCTTAAAAGTTTGATGAGGAAACTGTGGCTCAAAGATTTGTAACCATTTGTTCAAATCTCACACTATCATTAAAAGATTAATGCTAATAGTTAAGCTTTCTTTCTTCCTTGCGCTTTCCTCTGGGGGCTGCTTTATTCATCTTTGCATCCCCAGCATCCAGAAATGCCAGATGCTCAGTACACAATAAGCATCTAATATTTGTCAAATGAAGTTTAATAGACTTCTTGTTATACTTGTTTAAAGAGTATTAAAATCCCACTAGAATGAAATTTACATAAGGCAAAATACCCAAAACATATACATAGGTGCTCTTTTTTATAATAATTACAGGAATGCAATGAAATAAAAATCAGACACTATTTCATATTCATTACATTAGGAAAATGGATTATGTGACTACACATAATATATTATGGCTATATGTAACTTTCTGTCATTCAGGGATATATAGGTATATGTAACTTAGTGTCATTCCGGGATACATAGGTAATCGTAAAATGTAATAATTAACTACTATTAGTTAATGTAACACAGTAATATAACACATTCATTATGTTTACTACAACATGGAAAAAATTCGTCGTAACAATTATAATCTCTGAGGATGGTGAAGAGTACAGAGCATTTTGCTTCTTAAACTGTGTATTGGTTTCATAGACAGTTGATTGCATCATCATCTACTTTTAAGAGTTTCTGACATACTTCATAACTTCCTTTTACTGCAAACTCTCAGTATGTTTAATTAGAAGACATTTCTCTAAGTAACCAATATATAATGTGTTAAGTATGATTGTTGATACATTTGAATCATTATAATCATTCTATTTGTGAATATAGTTGTATGAAATTTTTGGCACTAAGTAACTGGGAGGACTTAATGAAGTCATTTATAGGTTTGAACTCCAGTTTCCTTGTTTATTTATGTTAGGAGTAGGACATGAGGGTATCTAAAGACGCTCTTACTTCAAACACTCTATGTTTCTGGAAATGCTTACTGTGGGGGCTCACAATTGAAAGCATATAGAACTTGTGTAGAGATTACTTGTAGCTAATCATAAATTGAATTTGGTTTCTGATTGCTATATAAAATATCAGTTTTGAGAATGTACCTGTACTTTTTGTTTCATTCTAACCACTTATGCTTTTTCTCAGATATCTAAATGAGCACTAATAGGGATACCAAGACCACTCAATTGTGTTTATTAATATTAACAAAATATTAATAGGAGTAGCAAAATTACCCCCAAAATTAATTCTAGTCAATGACATTCAGATGATGAGAATAGTGTTGGTAGTCCTGATTTCTGAACATATTAATTTATTTTCTAATTAGAAAAGGCAAGAATTTGGATTTCTTGAGTAACCATATCTACCTATTATCTGGGTTGTATATTGATTCACTGAATAACTTGCTATTAAAATAATTTTAGCTCCACTCACTTTTAAAAGATAGGGCTATGAAAACCTAAAATGTTAACAAAATGAATAACCAAATGTTATATGTATTTTAATAAACATGGTAGAACTTTTCCCAGTGTGAAAATAATGATTATTTATCTAATCCAAAAGTGTTTATGAGGAAGTATCAGTGACAATATATTTATTATATTTGCTGCTCAGTGAATTTTTCCTATACATATACTCAGTACAGGTAGCAATCATCATTTTTCTTCTAATGAAATATGTAAATGGCTTCATCAATGAATTTCACTTACAATTATAACTTTTTTTCACACTGTGGGGAAAACAGTCTATAACTATTCCTTCAGGAGTTTCTCACATTCCTTGGGAACTTTATTAAACTACTCTGAGTTTCAGCTCTGTTTTCTTAACAGATTAATGGAAGAAGCTCCCTCATGTGTCAGAACCAGGAAATTTGCAGTAACCTTTATATTAACTAAATACAGGGTGACTATATACTTAATCATGCAATGTAGGCCATTTTGTGATGAGAAGTTGCTATTAAAAATCATTTCAGGACAACAGGTCTAAACCAAGATTTTCCTGGGCAAACCTCAATGCATGTTTACTTTATTCATAAAAATAGTTTATATTAATTGACTGACTTGCTATAGGCATGTAGTTTTTCTCTAGCAGTAAAGACGTATTTTCTTCATAATTTTATGGCAAAGCATGCCTTGTCTCTACTTAAATTAACTCTTTGTTATTAATTTGAAACTCGTTTGTTATATAGGAGAAACAATATAGTTATTAAAGTTTTTTCCCATACAGTAATTTCCTATGTCATCAAGGAAATTTGTAGGATATATTAAAGTAACTGAGCTTAGTAAGATAAAAAGAAATAATCATATAGTAAATAACTCAAAGATGTTCTTTAGGTACAGGTTGCATGCAATTGAATGTGAGAAGCAGAAGCCTTTGAGAAGATGTCAAGATGCCCTCAGATATGTAAGAAAAGATGTCAAGGTGGCCTTAGTTATGTAAGAGAAATTCTTAGGAAAGTTAAATGAGAGGAAGAGGGAGTGGCAAGAGAGGTTTCAAGTAACAAAAGATGTTTGAAATGTATGAAAGTAAGAGGGGGAAGAAGTTTTGGATCAAAAGAATCTGAATGCATTTACATATTCTAAGAAAGTTTTGGCCATGCCAGTGGGAATCCTCCACCACGAATTGTCCTTCAGAGTAGCTCCTAGTCTGGTAGCAATGGATCTGAATTAATACTCGTGCTGTGCTTGGTTATTGACTGAAAGCAGCCTGGGACAGCTCGGGTCAGGTGCAGACTCAGGGCTAATTCTTAGTGCTGGCAGGCAACTAATGTTCCCATGGTAGGAGAACCAAGTGGCAAATTTTTAGGGCTGCCACAATAATTTCCTTAAGAGAGAATGATATTCTACCTCTCTCTATGAAACCCTCTATTTAATTATTCATTTTATAATTCAAAATGTATTTCAGAGTACTATCTGGTATAAAAGAAGAAGTTCATTCTTAGGTAGGCATTCTTGTCAAATTAACTCCTTTTTATATATTTATATTACACAATGTGTACATGAAGATTTCAAGATAATATTAATATACAAAAAAAATTTTCTATGGTCTCTCTAGTATAAAATATTAAGCATATACATTATTCTATTTTTCCATCAAATCTTTTAAGCCACTTTATACATAGATGGCAATGAAAGCAAATTGTTTCTGTTATTTTTCAATTATGTAATATTCAATTATGAAAATAATTTGATGCTTTTATAGACTCTTAACAAACAACAGATGTGTACCTTTTGTTAATAAATTATTTATTTAAACATACCCTTATTGTTAAAAAATATGTAATCATAGATAATACTGCAATAAGTATCTTAATGTCTGATGCTTTTCTGTGTTAGACCATCTAGATCAAGACTATAATTATAGTCTCAGTTTTGACAATGAATTGATTTGTGTTTTTGCTGTGTTTAAGTGGTCTTTGGTTTTCTCATTTACAAAATAAAGGAAGAGAGTTACTTAATCTCTCCAATGTCACTTAAGTAAAATTTGATAGTTATAACTCCTCCCAAATATATGTGGAAGATGAGTTACCTATTGTCAGCTTGATGATCAGAAAATCTTTGACAATGTTCTTGGAAAAGGACGGCTGGGTTCTTCTGACTTAAAAGAAGAAAATGGCTGGGTTCTTCTGATTAAAAGATGGCTGGGTTCTTCTGACTTAAAACATATGCACAACATGTTTTCCTTTTTATTCAAACCTTTCTTTACTCACTTTTTCTTCTTCTTTTCTACACATCCATTTTTATACATTTTATCAGACTAATTATTACATATTTTCCTGTAATTATTTACATTTTAAGGTTTATTTTTAGTTGTGATGGTTTAAGTTCACCACATATGGATGTACAGATCATATGTTATACAAATTTAGGGGACACCAGTCACATTTTGGTGGAATAGTTTTTATGAACATTAATGACATTGTGGGAGTGTTCAAAATTTACTTTATTGTTTTAATATTTTATGTTTCTTGCACAGAATTCTCAATTTTTGTATATTATCACATTAGGGCACTTTGTATGACAAACATGTTAGTTTTACTAACTAATATTTTTGTAATGCCTTTTTATACCACATTATGACTTTCTTAGTCAATTGTAATATTTGTAAACTATACTTTTATACATAATTCGATTGAACTTTCTACCATTTCTTTAAATCATTTAGTGTTGATAAGGCAGAAGATGAAGATGATGAGGATTTAACAATGAACAAAACCTGGGTCTTGGCTCCAAAAATTCATGAAGGAGATATCACACAAATTCTGAATTCATTGCTTCAGGGCTATGACAATAAACTTCGTCCAGATATAGGAGGTAAGTTTGAGTTACCATTCTGGTATTTTGGTGACTATTAAAAATATTATCACTGGTACTATTTTAATCATTTATTTCTTATTCCTTGAGTGTCTGATGTACATCAGAGGATCTGCTGGATTTAAGGATTATTGGTTGGAATGGTCACTAATGTTTTGAGGAGTTCACAGTCTGAAATAAGAAAAAAAGAAAAAAAGATATGTAATTATTTTCCAGCTGCTACAATATCTGACAAAGTTTTGATAAAACTGTCTGAAAGACTGAGCAATATTTCATAAAAGGGCAATATTTGAAAGATAAGTCAAAGTTTCAATTTTGTGCAAATGCCAGACTGTTCTAATTAATATAGAATTATAACTCTTGATAGTATAGTTAGTACAGGCAATCAACTTTGTACTTCTTCAACATTGTTATTTTTGGTCTTTGGCAGTTTTGCATAAATTTTAAAATTTAATTAAATTGTAACTTTTCCCTATGATTCCTTAAAAAAAATTATAAATCATATATTTCCTTAGTCATCAATCAATATATGGAAATTGAAATTTTAAACAAATTCAATTTTTACCATATCAAATTCGTGAGAACATCATATATTCTTCTATTTGTATATTTATTTTTTATTAATGTTTTCCAGAAGTTAATATTGCATGTGTTGTGTTAGATTTAATTTTTTTCTATTTGGAGTTTTTGATGCAAGTATAAATTAATCTTTTTAAAGTTATTTTCTGATTTGTATTACCAGTATGGAGAAATATAAAAGACTTTTTACTCTGTTCTTGGAAGCACTGCTAAATTTGTTTATCAATTTTAATTATTTATTTTTAGATTCTCCTGGATTTTTATAAGATAGAGAATAATGACCGTTTTCACAATAATGAATATTTTATATTCTCATTTCCAAAATTATACTTTTTCATGCCATATTGCACTGGGTAAGACTGGTATAACGTTGAATAACTCAAATTGTTTCTGATATCAGAAAAAAGCAATCCCTATTTCACTGGTAGGTATGATGTTTGCTTAAACATCTTTTTTAAAGGCACTTTTTTGGTTACCTTCTCTTCTTATTTTGCTAGGGTTTCTTCTTTCTCTGCACATCTACAATATGTGTGATGTGAAAACACAGTCTTCAAAACAAGTTTTTTCTGTGTAGAGAAAAATGTCAGAAAGCTAGAGAGAAGTGTGCTTAAGAAATTGAATGCTGAAAGGAAAAAGAAACAAAAGTGTGAATTTTATGCTGAACTCTGGCATCATATATTAGTAGTATTTGTTATGTGTCTATTTGAGCAGTGAACTTCTTGCATTTAATTAATGTTTGTTTTATTTTAGTATTTTGGAAGTTTCATAGTTTTATTCTAGTTTTACCCTTGTACTTGTATCTTAATAGCCTTAGTCTTCCATTTATTGACCCTTACTCAGGATTCTCCGTTGTTATTGATACTATTTAACCCCCACATACTGTCTATACAACGATCAATGAGATTTTTCTATTCTTTTTTCCTTCTCCTTAGTTTTATTACTTTTAGTTACATATTTTCTGCTTTGTCACAATATATAATATTTGTAAATTTGTTTAACACCATTTTCCCAATCTTTGTTTTAGTCTTTAGGCTCTAGCAACCTATGCTAGAGGCTAGTATTTTTAGGAAACTAACACAGGAACCCAAAACCAAACACCATCCATTCTCACCTATAAATGGGAGCTAAATGACAAGAATCCACGAACACAAAGAAGGGAACAAGAGACACTCCAGCCTACTTGATGGTGGGAAGAGGGAGAGGAGTAAAAAAGGTAGTGGGCTTCATACCTGGGTGATAAAACAATCTCTACAACAAACCCCTGTGACATGAGTTTACCTTCACATGTACCCTAGAACCTAAAACACAAGTTAAATAATAATAAAAAAAATTCTCAGAAAGTTGTTATATGTAAAAATTATTTTTTGATTGACTGGAAATTTGAAGGATGTAGTGGCTACATACAAAATCCTCAGTTTATATACATTTTATCATTGAGTTTTCACTTTAATAGCCTAATCATAACTGGTAACTTGCTTTGTGTGTTATTTTTGAAAAGTCTAATGCCAGTTTATTATTCAGACCTTGTAATTTATTTAATCTTGTTTTCTTCTCCTACAGGCCATTTAGATTTATTTAAAAAGCTTTCCACTGAATTCTTTTCTTAATAAATGTTTCAGAGTTGTTCAATTTGGATAATCTCTTTTCTGGACATTGATATTTTTTTTTTCAAAATGTAATTTCAAGTTTTCTTTCAACCGTTGGAAAATTTATTTACTTATGTATGTATTTATTTAGGAATATAAAATTGAATATTTGTTCTGTTACATTGTTGGTTTTCTTCTTCATGAATTCCCACTGTAGGCATGTTAGTCACGCTTTGCCTGCCTTATATTTGCATGATATTCTCTTTGACATTCTGACTTCTGTTAATATCATTTGTATTTCCTTCATTTTTTTCCTGCCTATTATTAAACTGTTTTAGTTGATTTATTGGTGATCACCATAATTTTGTCTTTTTCTGCTCTTTTTTAAAGTCCAAACAGTTTTTATTTCTTCGTGTGTATGTGTGTGTGTGTGTGTGTGTGTGTGTGTGTAATGAAATTATCTTGCTAAGTTTCCAAATTGCTTTATTCAAGATGATTTTTTCTTATTCCTAAATTTTTGTTTGAACACACTTAACTGTAGGGAGTATTTTCTTACAGTTTCTTCTGCTTATTATTTTGGGTGAAAATTTTCCACAATTGAGCTATATTGGATATTGATATCTTATTTCTGCAATAATTATTTTGTCCTTTTTATTTTGTGGTTTGTGGGTGTTTTACAAGATTCTTAGCTTATTGGTATATTTTAATGTCATGATTATAAAGTGCAGATACTTTGGATTTGATTGTGGTGTTGTAGTATATTTATTTTGTGGTGGGGGAGAAATTCTATTACTTCCATTTAATTGATTTTTCTTTTCCTTGTAGAAGCACAAAGTACTCCCTTTGACTTCTCCTTGTCACTGAACAGTTTCTTAAGCTCACTTCTGTTTTTGTTTTTGACATTTTTCTTGGCCCAGAAACAACCTATTTTGAACATTGCTCTTTCACATCACGGATACTTATAGATCCTTTTCCTCTTAGTTCTTGTGCTGCTCTCGAAATACATTCTTAAATATTTTCATATTAATGGTACACTTATTTTCTCTAGTGGTCTTGGGGATCTACTTTAGGCCCACCACTGACCTCCCTTCTGTCTTCTACAGAGCCTATTTCAGGCTGCTGTATCCATCATAAGGTGTTGCCTTAGAGCAGAGGTGAGACAATGTTTGATAGATTTCTGTCCATGATTTGGTATTTGGAGTTTTGTTTGTTTGTTTAACTTTCATAGTCACTTTGAAATGTGGGTGTTTTTTGTCTTTAAGTTATGCAGAGGACTGAATTTTTGATTACTTTTGTTTTTCCCTTTTTTTGGTTTTTATACATTTTTGAAGGAAATATTGGGAGATAAAGACATAGGATATTAATGTAAATTTTCTCATGTGCTACTTTAGAGTTTTACAATTTATTCCTTTGTAATTTCTTCTTTATCACATGGAATAATGAATGCTGTTTATTTCAAAAATTAGCCTGTTTTCCAGGTGTGTTTTTATTATTGGTATCTACATTGATTTAATCTGTGTCTGAGAACATATCTGAGTCAGATTTATGATTCTTGTTCTTCAAATAATCTATACTTCTACTGAAAGAGGTGTGTGAAAATTCTTTAACTACAATCATTTACTTAGCCTTTTAAAACTTTTTTAGTCCAGTAAGTTTTTGCATTATACATATTGAAACTGTTTTAGTTACACACAAATTTAGGATTATTGTGTCTCCTTTTAAAAAAAAAATGTTTTACTTTTAATTTTTATGGGCACATAGTGGATGTATATACTTATGAGGTACATGAGACATTTTGATATATGCATAAAATGTGTAATAATCATATCAGGATAAATGGGGTATTCACCTCAAGTATATGTCATTTATTTTTGGTACAAGCATTCAAGTTATACCCTTTTGGTTATATTTGAAATGCATATTATTATTTATTGTAATCACCCTTTTTTTGTTGTTGTTGTTGTCGTTTTTTTTGAGACGGAGTTTCGCTCTTGTTACCCAGGCTGGAGTGCAATGGCGTGATCTCGGCTCACCACAACCTCTGCTTCCTGAATTCAGGCAATTCTCCTGCCTCAGCCTCCTGAGTAGCTGGGATTACAGGCACGCACCACCATACCCAGCTATTTTATTTATTTATTTTTTTTTGTATTTTTAGTAGAGACAGGGTTTCACCATGTTGACCAGGATGATCTCGATCTCTTGACCTCATGATCCACCCACCTCGGCCTCCCAAAGTGCTGGGATTACAGGCTTGAGCAATCGCGCCCGGCATCACCCTCTTATACTATCAAATAATAGATCTTATTTATTCTGACTCTATTTTTATACACACTACATATTCCCACTCCCTCACCTCACTACCCTCTGGTAACCATCATTCTATTCTAACTCTATGAATTCAATTGTTTTGATTTTTAACTCCTACACATGAGTGAGAACATGTGAAGTTTGTCTTTCTGTGCCTGGCTTATTTCACTTAACATAATGTCTTCCAGTTCCATCCATGTTGTTGCAAATGACGGAATCTTATGCTTTTTTGTGGCTGAATAGTACTCAGTTGCATATATGTACCACATTTTCTTTGGGATTGTACAGCTTCTGTTGAATAGCAGTTTTATCATTAGGAAATAATAATTCTGCATTGTAAAACACATTTTTCTATAATATTTAATTTGATTGGTATTATATATCTATATTTGCTTTCTATGATTTGACTTTTTAATATTTTTTTCATCCTTTAATTTTCAGTATTTCTGTGTTCTTTGTTAGGTAATTTCTTTTAGAAAAAAAATATATATATAGTTTCTGTTTCCTAATATTCAAGTCTGATAATTA